CTAAATTTCACTGCCATATCTCATCTTTCACCAAAACACCACATGCTATTCAGTTAAATGTGACACTCTCCACTCTCCACTCAGATGACTATCTAGAAAGCAAAAGAAATTAGACTAGATGCCGGAGGTTCTAACCTATGTTCTTCGGTAATATTCTCAACATATCAAAATTATATAAAGATTAGTTGATACTAATTAGTCTATTACTATGAACAATATCATTATGTATTCTGTACTATTATATCTAAATTTATTACGTAAACCTATGGGTACACGTTGGTCGACAAACTGCCTAGGGGTTATCGCTTATACGTATGCGTCATTTGTAAGTAGATGATAGAGCAAGGATTTAGGGATTCGTACCTATAAAAAATACGTAATTGGTGTTGCCAGAGGATCGTTTTCCTTTCCCCAAAGTTTGTGTAAAATCTCTCAATAGTCAGGTTTGGATGTTAAAACTCCTCTATAAAATATGTCTGTATTATTAGTGACTATTTCCCGAAAAACAAATATTTTATATAGACTTTTTATTTTTTTTATAAAGAATAAACCGAATATTCTTTTTTTTTATTTGTATTTCAGCATCACACACTCTATAGTATTATTTTTAGTATATAATCTATTTGTATATGTATTAATTAACACCCAAAAACAATTGTAACTTTTCCTGATAATATAATAAAACGAACACGTACTCCTCTATTTGCTACGCCACGATTTCCTCTATTTTGGCCTTGTTACTTATTAGTAAATTAGGTTTCCCTATTATATAAACTTATTATAGCCATACGGATCGAAAGGAATGAGAATGTCATCATGAGACGCATTAGTGGCTCACCATCTTGAATTACGATGTCATCAGTTCAAATTTAACAGACACTATAAAAGTCTTTCTGTGTCAATTTAAATTTCTGACTAACTCTCTGCTTAAAGAAACACAAACAATTAATCATAAGTAAATCTTAATACTTATAAGTGAGAATTTAACTTAATCGAGAGACGCGGTAGGTCGCTCCTAGCCACGTTATATTTAATACATACCTCATGAAATACACCATAAAAACCTGGGATAACAGTCGTGACGGTATGTTTATGATTGTTAGGATTACAGCAAATTGATTGCTATTAACTTATTTTACGTGTTACCTTCTTAAAGTAAATTATTTTTAGTTTGTCATATAAACCGCTGACAAAAATATTTGATTCAAAATTAAAAAAAAAATCAAAATATCGTATAAATGGATAAGTAAGTCTATTACAGACTCTTATGATATGTCAAATCTACCGTCAGTTCGGAATTATTTCGAGATGAGAAGAACAGACAAGAAACTCGCACGTATTCTTTTCAATTTAATGTTATACATGTTTACAATATTTATTTGAAAAGTATGCGAGCTAAGTTTCTTGTCGGTTTAGTCTATATTGGATTTTTGTTCTAGGTTTACGAGGTCAATAAAACTCGGTGGTTTATGAAATTAATTCTATTGTTATTCGTCTAATCTGGACATATAACCTCGCCCTCTCCGATATATATATTACCAGTATATTGATTTATAACTAATGAATTCTACCTTAGAAAATGACATTTGTTCAGACTTTATACACATCGCATAGTAAACCAGTCATATCCGCGACTTCGTGATACAATCATTTTCATGTTAGAATTCGTAGAGATTCGTTCAGACGTCGTAAAAAGACAACAAACCTTACGAATCATTTCAATAGTTAGTTTTTCTTATAGATGATATTTCAATTTATCTATACTCAAAAAAATCATACATTTATTTACGTTTCTGATTTAATATCTTCTTTGTTCCCATTGTTTTCTTATTTCTGTAACTAATGACTATGCCAAAGTGCTCATCTGAATATTGTTTTTTTGCCAACTATCTCTATCAATACTGCCAAGTTACGTAATAATTTCAAGGTTAAATTATAAAAGTATTATACTTTCATGTCTAGAAAATAATACATGTTTAGTCATAATATTAGACTACTATATGCATTGATGAATTTGAGTTTGATTTGTAAACTTGTTTTCTACACTAACTGGTATATGCCTGTGACTGTACTCCTTAGTTTTTAAATAAAAGATAACCTATCCCCTAGTCCTCGTGACAGAATCTATTGTCATAACAATCTAGTTTAGTAGTCTTGAAAATTATACCTACTTTCGAATTTATAATGTTATTAGTGAAGTATCTGAGTATTTACTACAGTTTATGCAGACTAAATCATTTGTGTATATACAATTTTATCTTTAATGTTTATATATATTACTGTGCCTTGTGTGTGTGTGTGCCTATAACGTAAATAAAAAAAATATCTACCTATCATTTTTAATCTGTATTAGGTACTAACATTTAATTTGACGGTAGGTACAGTTACATTTCTGGCCTGATTCCTGATTTGTTACTATTACTCACAATAAAGATACAGTCGGTAATCTTAAATGTACTGTAAGTTGCTCAGAGAATATAGTACATCCGTGTACTATTTGCTTGAACTGGCAGAAAACACTACAGTGCCGGATCCAAAACGCAAACTTATTCTACCAAAACAAATCGTCGTTGAAGTAAAATATGTTTAACGAAACAAAAGCAAAACTTATAATAAAAGTCTAAACTTTTAAACAACTTTTAACTCTGAATGGTGTATATTGTGTAGTGCAGTTAACAACGAACGAACGAATGAAATGTACGATTTCGACCTTGACACACCTGAGCTGCGGTAAATCATTTTAATTAAAGCTGGAAATTCATATTTGTCGGAAAAGGGTTCAAGCTTAAATTCCCGTACAGTTGAAGGAGCACTCAGTGCGACCCAGTAACCCACCATTGAATAAAATGCATGTAAACCCATTTATAAGTGTGCTAATATGAAAAACCTATAATATGACTGCGTTAATTTATATAATTACTGTGATATATTTTAAACAATTTATATAAAACTGCATAAAACTACCTACACTATACAGATAAGACAATTTATACTTACAAAATTGTCTTCTGTAAATTGATTTATTTAGTCATTTTACTTATTGCTCATTTAGCATAAATACAATGTAGTTAAACGTTAGCACGGGGCGGGGCATCCTTCAATTATGATCCATTAAAAAAATAACTTAGTTCATAGTGTACTTAGTTATTGTATAAATACAATTATAAAAATAGCACGCATTTAGTAATATACTTTTTAAAAATAATATCGTAATATGAATAAACCTACATGAATAACGACTCCTGACACCGTAGTAGAATCACAAATCCAATTAAACAATGCATATTAACAATATAATATCCTCCACACAATACTCTATTCCTTGTATTTGTTTAATTTCAGGAAAAATTAAACGAGTATTCGTTTTCCAAGAGTATATCCTTTAGAATTCTGCAGGAAAACGGATTTTTCATTCGTTTTTATTATTTAATGGAAAATGTGAAATGGAAACATTAACTGATGATTTAGATGTTGGACTAATGTATGCGTGATGTAACGTTAAAAGCACACATGTTTGGTTGGTGCTTTTACTCCATAAAAACTGCCCAATAGCATGTTGGGGCTATAATATGATAACTGTCGTATTTTTACTGTGTTTGCTTTAGATTAGAGATGAAATATTTTAGACGATAATTTTATTTAACAAATTTATTTATTAAATATATATCCGACTTGCATTTCAACGGAAAATTTACTACGTAGCAGGCACAAACTTTTAACAAATTAGTCCTTAATTTATTAATAAACAGAATTCTTTAAAAAATATTTTTACTTTATTAAATAAGTATGTTTATGTAAAAATATTTATTGATTTCCTGTAGACACTTCTAATAAATAAAATTTTGTTAATTCAGGTGCGAGCAGACAGGAATTTAGAATCTAAATCTTTTCAAATGTGATTGTGCTTAATAATAATATAGTAGTACAGACTAATGTTTATAATTAGGGTATGTCTATCTATCATCTCTATACAACATTTCAACTATTTTATTATGTGTATAGAACATCGTACCAAAGTTTTAATAGTCTCGTGGGTGTTCGTAGATTTATTAAACCAATTATCGCGAATTGTAAATTCTATAATCAGTTTCGGCCAATTGAATTTATAAGGAGTTACTGGGTCGTTGATGAGTTAGCGAAGTTTTTAGTGGTGTCTAATTGGCACTCCTTCGGAGTTCATTGTGGAAAGTTTCTTCATCGATTACTTCTTAAAATACATTCTTAGAACCTTCACTTATTCAGTAAGAGATTTTATAATTTATTAAACAAATTTGCTTTAAGATATAAGATTTTTATCAACATAAACCTATTTAGAGTTCCATTCGAATATTTTATAACTATAATTGGATGTTATTTTTTATATTCAATATTCTTATTTATAAATTCTCATTACATTTTGAGTAAAATATGATTAACATACAACCTGAATGCAAAATAGGGTTTTATCCACAGATTGTTAAATGGTAGGGTATGGAGGTTAATATTCTGAAATATATGTAGGTACAACAGATATATGCAAGTAGATAGTTTAGAAATGAGATAATGTCTAAAATGATCAATCATCAATGAGTCATCATATTTCCATAATCAACGTAGGAGTGTAGCATAATTTTATAACTAGATACAAATTATAATAATAAGTCCCGTTATCATTGCTAAGTTATAATAATTTAATTTCTGTAGTACTTACACATACCTACAATAATTATACATTTTACTTTATTTTACCGAAATTCTTCTGTTATTTAAACCTTTTGAGGAACCACATATTAATATAATTGCATTGCATCTCCTTTGTTTTTATAGAATTACCTTTTTATCGTCTTTCTATGTTTAAGTACTTTCTATTTACCTACTTGTAAATAGTATGTTAAAAGGAGTGCTGTCAATGTATTTGGTTATATTTATTTATTTATATAGATTAACATTAGATAACATATTTGGTTATATGTACCTTTAATCTTATATGAAGCTAAACTTTTCGTTTTTTTTCTTTACAGATTACACCTCAAGGATTTTTTAAGGGATCCAGTGACTTCACGTTTCATATAAAGTAGATTAGTGACATAAAAATGAACAGGAAGTAAACATAGTTTGCCAGTGTAATGTCAGTGCATAACAGCGTGATTGGTGCAAAAATGCAATGGGCCGGCGGGGGGTTGGGGGTTAAACAATTGACTGTTAGCGAAACTCATAGCATTAACTAAATAACTTATATCAAAATTGGACGTCTCTACATAACAAAATGTCGGCAGGTAATTTATTAATTTTGTTTAATTAGCTGAAGCTATCTTTGTTTTCGTCCGCCTGATATGAACTGCGCCATGACATGCCAGAATATATTTACTTTACCCCTGATATCTTGCCATTCTGGAAAACTAACAGGCACCTCAGTTTCCAATATTTCATGTTTGATCCAAATGTTTGTTATATATTATTAACATATAACAAACTTGTAAGCTTATTAATTACAATATGTATAGAATAGGCTTACTTAAAACTTGCTGCTGCTTCTTAAATGAATCCAAAAATATGTTAAGTCAGAGGCTTAACACGTTTGTCTTCCGGAATGGACCACTACAGTCGCATAAGATTTTAGTCCCGTAGTGCTCTTCATGTATACATATTCACTTCTCACACACACACAAACAGTCACTTTACCACGAGTTGGACTAACAATTGTTTGCAATTATAAGTTACATAAAAAAATAAAGTAAGTAATTTTACGTAAACGCAATCCTTTTCCTTCAAATCTCAGCTAGAACACAAATAAGATTCAAACTTTACAACCCTAGCTGTATATATACCTACATACTATATTAGCCCAAGTTTATGTAGACTGTTGTTTATTAAACTTTGTAAATAGACCACACACAAAATGGACAGAGATGTAATAAAACTATACTACACGACGGACCTTTCTAACCTTTCTCCTTTCAAGTTCGGGCGCGGGATCATAAAATCAGCTTCTATCTCCAGATTACGGATTTCGATTTCGGAAAAATGCAACGATTTCATTATATTTCTATATACTATAAATATTTTTATTCAATTTAACTGGGCATCTAAAAGTATCAAATTACTTAGAGAATATTAGTTTCAATTCGACTGTGTAGTCGTCAAAGGTAACAAACAGATAAACGGACCGACTGACAAACGTTCACATTTGTAATATGAGTATATAAATGTAGATATTCATATATGCTACTTACTTTGCTCAGCAGCTTTGTTCAGCTGGATAAAAAGTATCTTTCGTTAAGTGTTCCTATTTTTTAAAGATGAACATACAAAACTTAGATGTATTATATATTGATAATAATGATATAAAAAAGTAATATATGATGAACTTAAACATATAATCACGTCAATTATTGTAGATAGCATAGTCAGTCGTTCTCAACTTTTGATGTTGAGATGAACGCAAAACCTGCCCGCATTTAACTGCTAATATTTAATTTCAACGTGGAAGCCTGGTATGGGCACTTCCTTCACCGGAGAATTAGTCAGAAATGTAAATTGACACACAATTTTTTTTTGCCGGGTAGTTTTGAACTTATGACCTCTTTAGTAGGCCTCGACGCTCTCAAATAGCAAATATTTATTTGTATTTGATTTTAGTGCAACATATCCCATAATAATTAACATATAATTTTGGTACATTTTAAGTAACCATTCATATATATTTAAAAAAACAGCACATAGTACTTCCATAATGTAATAACTTTTGAAGGTAATATGTTTTCTAATAAACTTTATTCTATATGTAAATTAATATTTAATAATAATTGAGGCTTCAAATATTTACAAAATTACATAACTTTGGCATCTAAGATCTCTAATTGGAACCACCAAGAATGATGAAGTTTGCTAATTACCAACAAGGGATGAGTTTTCCCAATTTAAACACGAAAGTTTTGACATAGACTCGATGTTTGAAACATAATTATTTACCTCGGAATATGACGATCACAGATAATATAAAAGCTTATATAAGTTACAATATTTTAAACAGGCGTTTAACATCTGCTTTGGACTTATTTTGTGGCTGGCATATTTCTGAGTAAGCGGCTTTCTTTGTAGACTGTGTTTTTAAGGTGAAAAGATATGATAATGAAATAAAAAAAAATATTGATACAAAAAACATTTGTACTAACAAAAATAAATACATGGTTCCGCGGTATGACACCTTATTTAGCAAGAACAGAACTTACAACTCTTATCATTTCAACTGTTAGCTGTCAAAATTACCTTAACGTCCCATCTATGAGACCGATAACAGCACTTCTCACTGGTAGAGGTTTGGGCCCATATGCGGAGTATACAATATTTTTGAAACAGATATTTCAAAAAATATTATATATTCCACATATTATTATAATAATAATTGGGTCATTCGCAGATGAGAGGTTATTCAAAGAATCACTCAGCTCTTGACATTTTTAGTAACAGTTATTATAAATTCCGCAGATAGTATAAGTTTCAATTAAATAATAAATAAAAAAAAGAAATATATTTAAGTCCTTAGAAAGGGCAAGGTAAGAAGCGTCGGTTGTCAGTTTCAATGAGATCCGCCTGTTAGTTTAATTCTAGTTAAATAAAAAAATAAGTATCTTAATCCTTACAATACATACCATATTTATATATAATATATACATATAAATAAAATTGGAGTGTCTGTTTGTAATATTGAAATACCTGTTTTTTCTATGCATGTACATATGAATATATATACGGTACATATACCAAAATAACATATTTTATAATTTTTGTCTGTCTGTCTGTTGGTCTGTTTGTTCCGGCTAATCTCTGAAATGGCTCGACTGAATTTGACGGGACTTTTTTTGGCAGGTAGCTGATGTTATAAGGTACTCCTTATAACATCAGCTACCTCAAGAGCTAATTCAAGAGATTAGCCGGAACAAACAGACCGATAAATATATGTAAAATTTAACATTTATTTTATATTTTAGAAAAAAAGTATAAAAATAAATTCCACGCGGAGGAAGTCGTGGGAACCGCTGGTTATATATATATATTATAAATGCGAAAGTAGGTCTGTCTATCTGTCTGTCGCGCTTTCATACTATAACTACTGAACTGATTTAAATGAAATATGGTGCCATTTAGTCTATTTTCCGCGATAGAACATAGGCTATTTTCTGATACGAACATACAGTTGTAAGGGGAGATGAAAGGTTTTATGGAAGTGTAGTAATTTTTAAGTATATTTTTTTTTCTTTTTTTTTGGTTAGATTACTAAATATTTAATGATATCCAAGGTCACTATTCCAAGCTGACAAAGTAACACAGGGCACAGTTAATAGGTACTACACATATGTAAGACAAGCCAGGCGGTAAATAACATATATACTTTCCTGTACTAAAAATATCATATTTGTCCTAAAATATAATTATATTGAGTCATTTTATTGATAATGGGTATAAAACACAAAATGTTAAAATTTATATGCCAGTTGCCATTCTTATCCCATTTACTGCGTAACTGTTTTTAAGGTGTAACAGACGAAAAAGTAAGTAATTCTAGTTCTGTTAATATTATAACTGAGTAATGAATATTAATTATATACCTATAATATATCATAGGTATATAATTAATATTCATTACTCCCTACTACTTTATTATAAGAAAGATCATAATGGTAATGAAATTCGTGATTATTTGTGTGAAATGAATTGAAATAATCATTCATTTGCATTGAACTTGGAAAGAAATCTTAACCTTGTCCACTTCTATAGTAACAGCTATACTGTTAGTTTATACAGTGCTTGTAATGATTTACAGTGCCATTAGCATCTACATTAAACTAGGGAGGAAAAGGGATTGTTAGTAATGTGGACTGATGATCCTATTGCTAGCAATGTGCGATGTCAGGTTGACCTCCACGCAGTTCCCCCTAGAAACCGAAAAGCGTGGAGGTCAAACTTCCCCTGGAAACCATCGTGATAAATTCTTTGTAAATTTATCACGATGGGTCCCACTCCTATACTGGTGTCCCGCCAGCGTAAACCGTTAGCACAGACGGGTGCACCATTCCATTATCATCCATAAAAAAAAGCATCTAAACTAAGCCGTGCCTGTGTCTTAAATGTCATTATTAATATGTTACGTCGGATGTTGATATTTAGTTATTGATATTAGTTAAAACTGTTCACATGTACAGTGTATTTATTTTTATTATAATATTATAAAGTGATGTTCAAATTGTGCTGAATATGTTTCAATCTAATGCGGTGAGACAATAGTTATTTAAAATTTTCGTAATAATTAATACTGATTTTTTAATTTTCAGTATGGCTCGAGTTGTGAATAGAAACTTTCTAAATAGTACTAATATTATAGCACGCTACAAGTACATACTATTTATATTTGTTATAACCTGTACCTGTTTCTTCTACATTGCTTATGTTTACAATCAAATTAGAACACCTTCCAAAAATTCTATTTTTTCACTCTACATGAAAGGTGAAGAGAAAGTGTATTATGAAAAGCAATATACAATCAAAACTGAAGGCTGCATTATTCCAGGAATGAATCCGTTTGATGATTCTATCAAAAAATTCGTAGAATATCCTAAAACAATGAAAAAATGCAATGACCACGGCTTTTCTATAGTAGAACATAATAAAACACACATCTGGATAAATAAAAAGAAAGTGATGTCCAAATACAATTTAAACACAGACAACAAAAAGTTCCGATGTTGTTATTCAGCATTCTTTCGTCCAAAATTTATAAAAGATATCCACTCACCCAAAGTTGATGACAGAATTGAATATCAAAATTGTACTTATTTTTTTGAAGTAGTTGAGGTAAAAAACGAATTTGTACGAGTCATTTGCAATTTTGAACAACATTTGATCTCTGATGATTTTTTTGTTTTCGCTGTTAAGAAAGATAATGATAAAGTAGAAATTTTAAGAAATAAAACAGCATACAATATATTAATTATGGGAATTGATGCTGTTTCGAGGTTAAATTTTTACAGAACAATGCCAAAAACTTTGGCCTATTTAAAAACAAAGGGAGCAATAGATTTGTCTGGATACAATAAAGTTGGCGATAATTCATTTCCAAACATAATCCCAATGTTATTAGGTATTGCCCACGAAGAACTAAGATATACATGTCTTCCATATAATAAAGCAAGATTCGACAATTGTCCATTTATTTGGGAATACTTTAAGCAAGCTGGTTATTACACAGCTCTAGGGGAAGACAGTTCAAGTTTAGGTA